CCGATCTATGGTTAAAGAAATCAAAGAATGGACACCTCAGTATCATGAAATGGCTCTTTCTCTGAATAAAAGACTGATTTTTGCCGCACACGAACCCTTCTTAGAGCTTGCTACGGCTATCGGATCTGTCCCTTATACTCATGAAATCAACCATCATCAAGAACGACATTTCGCGCCTCCTCTCAAAGTCAACGATCCTTCTCGCTTGAAGGATACCTACTGGTTGGCAGGAAGTCTTATCCAGTCGTCACCTTTGAGTCGTTTTCTTTGGAGCACGTACTTGAAAAGAAAACACTTCGCCTCACTGCCTAAACGGATCCTCAAAGGTATTCTACGCCGACTTGGTCTTTTACGGTTCATCCAGGCCGCGCGAAGGACTAAGGAAAAATACTGATGTCATCTCTGAGTATTATTATACCTGTCTATAATATCGAAAAATATATCAAAACGTGTCTGGACTCTCTGATCGATGCGGCTTTAAAGACGCAGACAGAATTGATCTGTGTCGATGACAAAAGTACTGATTCAAGTCTCGCTATCCTCACGGAGTATGCGACGGCGTATCCTGCGGTAGTGCGGATTGTTCGACATGAAGAAAATCGAGGAGTAGCCGCAGCACGCAATAGCGGTTTAAAGATCGCTAGAGGTGAGTATCTCGCTTTCATCGATGGAGATGATCTTGTTGCTCCTCATTATCTCGACGTGAGTCTGGGGATTTTGGAAAAATATCAGCCCGATATGATTCTTTTTTCTTTTTCGGCCTTCGACAACGAGCGTGGATGTGATGAACATGGCGGTCTTCTCTGGCCTCATGTGCATTTTACGAACCACTATGGGAATTTTTCCCTTGAAGGACTCATCACAAAAAGTGAGGATCTTCGAAAATTCGTCTTTCTTGCTTCCCAATACATTTGGGTTCGTATCTTTCATCGCAAGCTTTTTTTTGATCATGAGATTTTTTTCCCCGAAGGTTTCATCAACTTCCAGGATGGTGCTACAGGTCCACGGCTCAGCTTTTTCGCCAAAAGCATCTATGTGATGAATTACTATAGGCCCATCCTCTATAGGATGAATGTTTCGACAAGTTTGAGTTTTCAAGGTTTCGATACCATCCGCAGAAGAACACACTTTACTTATCAAGTGTTTGACCTTCTGCAGACCTTTCTTCAAGAAAATAAGGCAGAAGAACTCTATAGAGTTGAATTTGCTACCTTCCGAAGTCTTTATTTCCTCAATATGCCTCTAGAGATTATTCAAAGAGAAATAGGGATTGCTCAAAGAAAGATCCCCGATCAAGTCAAAAAGCAGCTCGTCGAGCGGATGCTTGCCGAGTACAAAAAGAATCCTCTTCTTGCGTCTGATCTAGACCTTCGCATTATCCCTCCTAGGGGACCTTATGGAAGAGAAGTGCGACTACGCTTTCTTTCTTTACTCGAAGAAGCTTCAGCGATGAACAATGAGGAAAAAGCTGTGGCTTTTCTGATCAGAAAATTTGTTCCCCAAACCTTCAGAGATAAGAAAAAAGTAGACAAGTGGATACTTCTACGAACTCTGAAGCGGATCCTCAAAAGCATTCTACGCCGACTTGGTCTTTTACGGTTCATCCAGGCCGCGAGAGGCACAGAGGAGAAATACTGATGTTAGGAAAATTAAGTATTATTATACCTGTCTATAATATCGAAAAATACATCAAAGCGTGTTTGGACTCCCTGATCCATGCGGCCGAAGAGACGCAGACAGAATTGATCTGTGTCGATGACAAAAGTACTGATTCAAGTCTCGCTATCCTTGAAGAGTACGCGGCGGCGTATCCTGCGGTAGTGCGGATTGTTCGGCATGAACAAAATCGAGGAGTNGCGGATTGTTCGGCATGAACAAAATCGAGGAGTAGCCGCAGCGCGCAATAGCGGTTTAAAGATCGCTAGAGCTGAGTACCTCGCTTTCATCGATGGAGATGATCTTGTTGCTCCTCATTATCTCGACGTGAGCCTAGGGATTTTGGAAAAATATCAGCCCGATATCGTTCTTTTTTCTTTTACGGCTTTCGACAATGAGCATGGACTTAATCAAAATGGCGGTCTTCTCTGGCCTCATGTGCTTTTTACCAACGACTATGGGAATTTTTCCCTTGAAGGACTTGTCACAAAAAGTGAGGATCTTCGAAAATTCGTCTTTCCTATTTCCCCATACATTTGGGTTCGTATTTTTCATCGCAAGCTTTTTTTTGATCATGGGATTTTTTTTCCTGAAGAATTCGTCACCTTCCAGGATGGTGCGACAGTTCCACGGCTCAGCTTTTTCGCCAAGAGCATCTATGTGATGAATCACTATATGCCCATCCTCTATAGGATGAATGTTTCGACAAGTTTGAGTTTTAAAAGTTTCGATACCATTCGCAGAAGAACACACTTCATTTATCAGGGAATGGACGCTCTGCGGGTCTTTCTTCAAGAAAATAAGGCAGAAGAACTCTATAGAGTTGAATTTGCTACCTTTCGAAGTCGTTTTTTCCTCTATATGCCGATAGAGCTTAGTCAAAGGAAAATCCCGAATCAAGTCAAAAAGCAGCTCGTCGAGCGGATACTTGCCGAGTACAAAAAGAATCCTCTTTTCGCGTCTGATATCAACCTTCGCATTGTCCCCCCTGATGGGCCTCATAGAAGAGAAGTGCGGCTACGCCTTCTTTCTTTACTCGAAGAAGCTTCAGCGATGAACAATGAGGAAAAAGCTGTGGCTTTTCTGATCAGAAAATTTGTTCCCCAAACCTTCAGAGATAAGAAAAAAGCAAACAAGTGGATAGTCCTCAAAATTCTAAAACGGATCCTCAAAAGCATTCTACGCCGACTTGGTCTTTTACGGTTCATCCAGGCCACGAGAGGCACAAAGGAGAAGTCCTGATGTCATCTCTGAGTATTATTATACCCGTCTATAATGTCGAAAAATACATCAAAGCGTGTCTGGACTCTCTGATCGATGCAGCTTTGATCTGCGTCTGTCTTAACTAGACACAGCTACTGTTTTCATGACTAAGTTCAGAGCGATAGGAACTTCTCATGCGCCGCCGCATAGGACGCCATCACGCCTAACAAGCCGTACTTGTTTTAGCTCCTCAAGCCGCAGCGCGCAATAGCGGTTTAAAGATCGCTAGAGCTGAGTACCTCGCTTTCATCGATGGAGATGATCTTGTTGCTCCTCATTATCTCGACGTGAGCCTAGGGATTTTGGAAAAATATCAGCCCGATATCGTTCTTTTTTCTTTTGCGTCCTTCAGCAACGTCAGTGGATGTGATGAACATGGCGGTCTTCTCTGGCCTCATGTGCATTTTACCAACGACTATGGGAATTTTTCCCTTGAAGGACTCATCACAAAAAGTGAGGATCTTCGAAAATTCGTCTTTCCTATTTCCCCATATATTTGGGTTCGTATTTTTCATCGCAAGCTTTTTTTTGATCATGGGATTTTTTTTCCTGAAGAATTCGTCACCTTTGAGGATGGTGCGACAATCCCACGACTCAACTTTTTCGCCAAAAGCATCTATGTGATGAATCACTATACGCCCATCCTCTATAGGACGAATATTTCGACAAGTTTGAGTTTTAAAAGTTTCGATACCATTCACAGAAGAACACAGCCCATGTATCAGGTGTTTGACGCTCTGCGGGTCTTTCTTCAAGAAAATAAGGCAGAAGAACTCTATAGAGTTGAATTTGCTACCTTCCGAAGTCGTTTTTTCCTCTATATGCCGATAGAGCTTACTCAAAGGAAAATCCCGAATCAAGTCAAAAAGCAGCTCGTCGAGCGGATGCTTGCCGAGTACAAAAAGAATCCTCTTTCTGCGTCTGATATCAACCTTCGCATTATCCCTCCTGCGGGGACTTATGGAAGAGAAGTACGACTACGCTTTCTTTCTTTACTCGAAGAAGCTTCAGCGATGAACAATGAGGAAAAAGCTGTGGCTTTTCTGATCAGAAAATTTGTTCCCCAAACCTTCACAGATAAGAAAAAAGTAGACAAGTGGATAGTCCTCAAAATTCTGAAACGGATCCTCAAAAGCATTCTACGCCGACTTGGTCTTTTACGCTTTTTCGCACTCAACGGCGGCACAAAGGAGAAATACTGATGTCATCTCTGAGTATTATTATACCTGTCTATAATATCGAAAAATACATCAAAGCGTGTCTGGACTCTCTGATCGATGCAGCTTTGAAGACGCAGACAGAATTGATCTGTGTCGATGACAAAAGTACTGATTCAAGTCTCGCTATCCTTGAAGAGTACGCGGCGGCTTATCCTGCGGTAGTGCGGATTGTTCGACATGAAGAAAATCGAGGAGTAGCCGCAGCGCGCAATAGCGGTTTAAAGATCGCTAGAGCTGAGTACCTCGCTTTCATCGATGGAGATGATCTCGTTGTTCCTCATTATCTCGACGTGAGCCTAGGCATTGTGGAAAAATATCAGCCCGATATGGTTCTTTTTTCTTTTTCGTCCTTTGACAACGTGCGTGGATGTGATGAACATGGCGGTCTTCTCTGGCCTCATGTGAATTTTACCAACGAATATGGGAATTTTTCCCTTGAAGGACTTGTCACAAAAAGTGAGGATCTTCGAAAACTCGTCTTTCTTGATTCCCAACACATTTGGGTTCGTATCTTTCATCGCAAGCTTTTTTTTGATCATGATATTTTTTTCCCCGAAGGTTTCATCAACTTCCAGGATGGTGCGACAGTTCCACGACTCAGCTTTTTCGCCAAAAGCATCTATGTGATGAATCACTATATGCCCATCCTCTATAGGACGAATGTTCCGACAAGTTTGAGTTTTCAAGGTTTCGATACCATTCGCAGAAGAACACACTTCACTTATCAGGCTTTTGACCTTCTGCAGACCTTTCTTCAAGAAAATAAGGCAGAAGAACTCTATAGAGTTGAATTTGCTACCTTTCGAAGTCGTTATTTCCTCTATATGCCGCTAGAGCTTGCTCGAAGAAAAATCCCGAATCAAGTCAAAAAGCAGCTCGTCGAGCGGATGCTTGCCGAGTACAAAAAGAATCCTCTTTCTGCGTCTGATATCAACCTTGAAACTATCCCTCCTAGGGAGACTTATGGAAGAGAAGTACGACTACGCTTTCTTTCTTTACTCGAAGAAGCTTCAGCGATGAACAATGAGGAAAAAGCTGTGGCTTTTCTGATCAGAAAATTTGTTCCCCAAACCTTCACAGATAAGAAAAAAGTAGACAAGTGGATAGTCCTCAAAATTCTGAAACGGATCTTCAAAAGCATTCTACGCCGACTTGGTCTTTTGCGTTTCATCCAGACCGCGAGAGGCACAGAGGAGAAATATTAATGTCCTCAAAATTAAGTATTGTTATACCCGTCTATAACATCGAAAAATACATCAAAGCATGTCTGGACTCTCTGATCCATGCGGCTTTAAAGACGCAGACAGAATTGATCTGTGTCGATGACAAAAGTACTGATTCAAGTCTCGCTATCCTTGAAGAGTACGCGGCGGCGTATCCTACGGTGGTGCGGATTGTTCGACATGAACAAAATCGAGGTCTTTCCGCAGCACGCAATAGCGGTTTAAAGATCGCTAGAGCTGAGTACCTCGCTTTCATCGATGGAGATGATCTCGTTGCTCCTCATTATCTCGAGGTCAGTCTGGGCATCTTGGAAAAATATCAGCCTGATATGGTTCTTTTTTCTTTTGCGGCTTTCGACAACGAGGGTGGATGTAATAAAAATGGCGGCCTTCTCTGGCCCCGTATCAATTTTACGAACCACTATGGGAATTTTTCCCTTGAAGGACTTGTCACAAAAAGTGAGGATCTTCGAAAACTCGTCTTTCTTGTTTACCAATACATTTGGGTTCGTATTTTTCATCGCAAGCTTTTTTTTGATCATGGGATTTTTTTCCCTGAAACATTCACCCACTTTGAGGACGCCCCCACAGGTCCACGACTCAGCTTTTTCGCCAAAAGCATCTATGTGATGAATCACTATACGCCCATCCTCTATAGGACGAATGTTTCGACAAGTTTGAGTTTTCAAAGTCTTGATCGGATGTCCAATAAATTTCATCATTTCTATAAGATGTTTGACCTTATGCGGGCTTTTCTGCAAGAAAATAAGGCAGAAGAACTCTATAGAGTTGAATGGAATACTTTTTGGAGCCAATATTTGTTCTATATGGCCGCCGATATCAGTCAAGCAGAGGTTCCCCATCGATTACGGAAATCCCTTCTTCGGGATATGCTGAGCCATTACAAAAAAAATCCTCTCCAAGAGAGCGAGATAGACCTCTCCATTATCCATCCTTATGACCGCAACGCACGACTACGCCTTCTTTCTTTACTCGAGGAAGCTTCAGAGATGAACAATGAGAAAAAAGCTAGGGCTTTTCTTCTGCGAAAATTTGTTCCTAGAACCTTCTATAGAGGTCGGAGATTGGAAGACTTGCTCGTCTCGGAAATCAAAGGTATTCTACGCCGACTTGGTCTTTTGCGTTTCATCCAGACCGCGAGAGGCACAGAGGAGAAATATTAATGTCCTCAAAATTAAGTATTATTATACCTGTCTATAACATCGAAAAATACATCAAAGCGTGTCTGGACTCTCTGATCCATGCGGCCGAAGAGACGCAGACAGAATTGATCTGTGTCGATGACAAAAGTACTGATTCAAGTCTCGCTATCCTTGAAGAGTACGCGGCGGCTTATCCTGCGGTAGTGCGGATTGTTCGGCATGAACAAAATCGAGGTCTTTCCGCAGCACGCAACTCAGGTTTAAAGATCGCTAGAGCTGAGTACCTCGCTTTCATCGATGGAGATGATCTCGTTGCTCCTCATTATCTCGAGGTCAGTCTGGGCATCTTGGAAAAATATCAGCCCGACATGGTTCTTTTTTCTTTTGCGTCCTTCGACAACGAGCGTGGATGTAATAAAAATGGCGGGATTCTCTGGCCCCGTATGAATTTTACGAACCACTATGGGAATTTTTCCCTTGAAGGACTTGTCACAAAAAGTGAGGATCTTCGAAAACTCGTCTTTCTTGTTTCCCAATACACGTGGGTTCGTATCTTTCATCGCAAGCTTTTTTTTGATCATGAGATTTTTTTCCCTGAAACATTCACCCACTTTGAGGACATCCCAACAATTCCACGACTCAGCTTTTTTGCCAAAAGCGTCTATGTGATGAATTACTATATGCCCATCCTCTATAGGACGAATGTTTCGACAAGTTTGAGTTTTCAAAATATTGACCGGATGTCGAGGAAATTCCATGATCTTTGTCGGGCTTTTGACCTTCTGCGGGCTTTTCTGCAAGAAAATAAGGCAGAAGAACGCTACAGAGTCGAATTGGAAACTTTCCGGAACGACCATCTCTTTTTCTATGTATCTAAAGGACTTGTCTATTCAAAGGCTCCAAAGACACTACGGGATCCGATACTACGGGACATGCTTGCCGAGTACAAAAAAAATCCTTTCCAAAAGAGCGAAATAGACCTCTCTATTATCCCCCCTCTTGGACGCAAAGCACGACTACGCCTTCTTTCTTTGTTTTGGAAAGCTTCCTTGATCAAAAACGAGGAAAAAGCTGTGGCTTTTCTTTTGAAAAAATTGACTCGTCGAATTTTTTATGAAGGTCAAAACTTCAGAGTATTACTCTCCAAAGGAATCAAACTTTATTTTCCTTCTCTTTTCCGACTTTACCTGCTTGGAAAAAGAATGCTATCGAGAAAAGCCATGATCAATATTCTTTTATTCTCGAATATTTTCTTCAGCACACATCTGGATGCCGAAATACCGATACTCAAGCCTCCTGCAGGACTTTTTGTGAGTCTCTATGCGGAAGTTCCTGGAGCAAGGCAGATGGCGCGTGCTTGGGACGAGAGTATTTTTGTAGCCAGCCATCATCGCTCTGAAGGTGGAGCTCTCTATTGGATTGAGTCCAAAGAGAAAGGTCCTCAAAAGATCCTCGACGGACTCAAGCAGAGCATCGGTGTGGCTTACTCGAACGGTGATCTGTATGTGAGCCAAACAGATCGTATCATGCGTTATCGCAAAATACGCCAAACACTCGCCGAGGGGAAAACCCCTCAAGGAGAAATTCTTCTTGGAGCCTTGCTGGACAATCGTCACCATGGAGGCAAGGTACTGGAATTTGGTCCTGATGGACTTTTATACTTTCCCATTGGAGCACCCTGTAATGTCTGTCTTCCTCAAAAGGCTGGTTTTGGCAATGCCACAACAGCGAGTATCATGCGTCTTCATCCAGACAATCCTCAGGGAAGTCTCCAAGTGGTCGCCTCAGGAGTCCGCAACAGCGTGGGGATGACGTGGGATGCTTCCTCGACGCTTTTTTTTACGGATAATGGTCGTGATGGCCTCGGAAGAGACCTTCCTGCTGATGAACTGAACCGTCTCGATAGTCTTGGAGCCCATTATGGATTTCCCTACAGACATGCCGGAGGACTACGAGATCCTGAATTTGGCACAGCGCCTCAAGGAATGGATTTTGTTGATGTTTTTTTTCCACTCGGACCTCATGCAGCGGCTTTGGGTTTGACTTTTTATGATGCGAAAGCTTTTCCTGCTTTGTGGCACGGAGCTCTTTTGATTGCGGAACATGGTTCATGGCTCAAAGGAGCCAGCGATTTAGGCTATCGAGTTTCTGCGATTCAACTTGATTCCAAGGGACGTGTGCGTACATATGGAGATTTTCTGAGCGGTTTTGTTGATCAAGACGGCACGATCCGTGGTCGACCAAGCGATGTGCTGGTCGGCAAGGATGGATCCGTTTTCGTCTCTGATGATATGGGTGGAAGAATCTGGCAAATTCTTGCGGCGGAAGCTGATGAAGAAAATTAAAGCGGGAGTGCGCAATTGGCTGTCTTGACAGAAGGGCATTTTTTCTTTAGAATGTTTCGCGTATAATGTCAATTTCATACAAACCTTCAAGGAGAAAAGACAATGACAAATACTCTACGTTCCGCACGTTTCATCATTTTTTCAAGTCTGATCGCCATTCTCACAGCAAGGCTTTCAGCCTTGCCCCTTGATTTGAACTTTGGTCTTTCTTTTGGAATCGTTGATAGTAGCTTTCTCTTTGATGGTCAATATGCCGACCCAATCAAAAATCTCGATCTCATTGTCCCCAGGCCGATTGGTCGTAACTTGGGAAGCGACTCAAGCATGCTTCCTTCAGAAAAAAAAAGCGGAGTAACCTCCAGTATCGAATTTAGCGGATCCATAGGACTGCCTCTCTTTTATATCCCTCTTGATGATCAGAATGAAACCGTCATGGCATTCTTCTTTGGTGCCGAGGGAGCTATTGCAACAGGACAAGGGTCAAAAGATCAGATCTATCTCCTGCGGGATGGTCGTTTCCTGATGGCTTCCTATTCCCAAGAACTCCTGGCTCTACGTACTTATCTCAAATTGTCCTACGAGTCTTACTGGTGGGGAATCGCACTCTCGCCTTTCTTCGGAATCAACTCACTGAGCTACACCTTTGCTCAAGCTCGCATACTCGATGAACAAGGTCAATGGACTCCTATTGATGCAAAACCTAAAAACGTCTTTGCCGGTAATGAAATTGGTTATCATCTCGAATTGGTACTTTCCACTCTCGTTTTTAGACAATCCGCTATCATCGGCTTTAATGGTCAGGATGTAAGCCCCACATGGGCAGTCATTTCTTTTGGCATTGGCTTACGTCTTCCACGATTTTTCGGAATCGATACAAGCCAGATTAAAGTTTAATTCATCCATCTAGGCCAAAACCAAAGGAGAACTCCCCATGACCAAGATGCCTTTATTTTTCCTTTTTGCCTCTTTTGCCTCTCTGGGTCTATTGGCTTGCCAACACGTTATCCCGCAGAAACACTTCAATGAAGACAAAAGCCTCAAGGGCGTCAGCTATGGCTGGATTTACCTATCAAATGCCAACGAAATCGCCAAAAAATCGGAAAATACCCTTGATCTGCGTTGGTCCGTGCAAGAAAAAAATATGGACATCTCAACCCTCGAGTTGCGCCTCGGAGAAAATGACAGCTCCAAGACCGCCGGAACTCTTTTTCTCGTCTCTGCGCCTGCTCGATTACGTCCACTCAAAGAAACAAGCACAACTCCCATGAGTTCTCTCTTAGCGATCAGTCCCAAAGAAGAACAGTCAAAACGCTACCGAGGGAAAAAATTCCGCTATTACTCTGTCGAATGGCCTTCTGCTCTTTTGTATGATTTTTTCCTGCAGAATTCAAACAAAGATCTCCTCTTTGAGCACAAAGAAAGTGGTGCCCAATATCTCCTCCAAAGCAAACATCTTTCCCGCTATCTCGCGAGTTATCGTTCTTTTTTACGTCATCAGCGTGAGTCGTCTCTATGACGTTTTTTCTCACCTATGCTTTGAGTCTTAGCCTGCTCTATTGTCTTCTGACAGCCGCAGCCGTATGGGCTCCAATACGGATGCTGACTCCTTTAGGCTTTATTTTGCTCTTAGAGGCCAACATGGTCGTTTCCACGATCATCTGGGTTCCTCTCGGCGGCGGCGCATGGCCTTTTAGTCTAGGTAACGAGGCCGCTTCTGGACTCTTCTTACTCGCTGATATCACTCTTTTACGTAGAGGACGTCTAGAAAGTCGCAAAATTTTTTCAGAATCAGCCTTCTACTATGTCATTTTCACGCTCTTTTTATCGACGAATCTTTATCTTTTTTCCCGAACAACAGAAAACTCATCCATGCTTCTGGCAACACTTCTGGCTTCGAGCCTCGCGTATCTGAGCGCCTTGTTTTGGGATATTTTCTTTCTTAGCAAACTCTTGCGTCGTTCCTGGGGACTCGTTTTAGCCAGTAGTTTTTCGTCATTGAGTGCAAGCTTTATTGATTCCTGTGTTTTTTCTCTGATATTCTTCAGCTTTTTCCGAGGAGAAACACTCTATACAAGCCTGCTTTTAACTCTTTCAACCTTCATTCTACGTAGTCTCAGTGCCTTGTATGGAAGTTTCTTTGTCGCCATCGCTTCACGATTGGGTTCTTGGAGACTCCGATTATCATGAAATGGCGTCAGTTTCTTTGGCTTATTCTCAGCGTTGGTTTTGCTTCCTGTCAGAGTTCTTCGAGCTCTGAGAGGATCTTTGATGAATGGGATCGCTTTTTAGAAGATTCAGCGGTTAATTGGGAATCCATCCGCACCAGCTGGATGGAACTCACTCTCGGAAGACAAACACCTCTTTCTGTACAGATCCGGATTGTCGGAGCACGTAGCCAAGATGCAGATCAACGTTATCTTTTCATCATCAAAGCACTCTCGAGGACACGTAATGGACTACGTTCAGAGCTTCTACGATTTCCGTCTCTTGAGGATAGCGGATTAGGAACACTCTCGCTCCATCGAGATGAAAAAGTCTGTCAAAGTGGGGCTTGCCTTTGGGTTGAGTTCTATACTAAAATGGTCGGGAAGGAGATTTTCGAAAAAATCATGACGCTTGCTGAAGAAGGTGAGAGCTTCGTTTTTAAAGGTCAGCGTCAGAGTGTTTCGTTTACTTTCCCTCCAAAAGTGCTTAAGCGGCTTGCCGAAGAGGTAGGTCGCTTACGCTAAGGAGCTTAGAACGTTCAAGGGGGCAAAGACGTTCATATGCGACTTCCGTCGACCTATACGGTTCTTTTTTTTCTCATCGCCATTCTTGTACTCTCTACATGGTTTATTCCTGGGGGACGTTACATTTTTATTCCCCTCAATGAGGATGCTAGTCTCAAGACGGATACAGCTCCCCTCAGCGTCGATGAATATCTTGCTCTGGACAAAGAAAACCTCAACAACTTTCTTCCTCGATTCGAAGACCTCGGAAAAGCTCGT